GAGAGGGTAGCACCGATCAGTTTTATTATTAGAAACATAGGGAAACAAGTCGTATACATTTGCATTAAAAAAATGTTCATTGACCTAAAAATGGCCGCAAAAGCCTGAAATCGGCGTAATCAAAAGAAGAACGAGAAAGCGTTCATACGTTGGAACCACGGGAAAAGTCGCGCTAACCTCCGCTTACTTTTTAACCCAGTTTTCTAAACACCTCTTTTCAAATTATTAACGAACATAAGTACGTACGTTAACTCAGGACACGCTTACGACCCTTTTTGCAAGTTCCTTTTTTCAAACATTTTTTTTTTGCCTTGCCAGTGTACGTCAATTACCCAACTACACCACAGTATATTCGTTTCAAACAAGCTTCATTAACTATAAAAGTCACGTTGTTTGACAAGAAGCCTCTGTGTGCTTACTTTTTAGACCTGGACGAATGTACCACTGGTTCCCATTCCTGTGACGTCAATTCCGTTTGCCAGAATACCGTGGGTTCATACAAATGTTCGTGTAATGCTGGGTACACAGGAAATGGAAAACCTTGCAATGGTATTTACGATACAGTTGATCCTCCATGTGCGACCACCTCTTCTAGGCGACCCATAAGTCGACATGGAGCTACACATATCGTAACTTTGAAATTGCACACAATAAATTGTTTTTCAAAGAGACGACCTACTCTAATCTAAAGGTTCTTAAACAAGACGACGAAACCATTGAAGGTGCAATGTTTGTGTGCAAAAGCCCAACACTGTCATGTCATTTTGGAAAAAAGCCTAAAACCATATTTGTTAAAAGATAAAAACAAAAAACAAACAAGAACAAAAAAAATGGATACAGTCACCTTAGCGACCAGACGTAAACCATCAGGTAGATTTAATATTAGTTATTCCAACGCTTTACGTAACTTACAATTCTCATGCAGATATCAACGAGTGTTCCATCAACTCTCATAGCTGTGACGTTAATGCGGTTTGCAGCAATACTGTTGGATCTTACGCATGCGCATGTAAAGCAGGATTCACAGGCGATGGAAAAACATGCTCTGGTAAGCTATTGCGGTGTTGTAAAACACGCTTCCAAAACAATGTGTGTACCTGTATTTTTTGTATCCGATCTTTACATTTAAACATGTAGAAGATGATGGGCATATAACAATTACAGTAAAACTAGAAATACGTATCTCTCGCAAAATTTCACTAAACTCGGTCTTGCACAATTGTCAAGCCCAGCCGGTTAGAAAATGATTGGGTGACCAGGCTCTAATCTGTCTTCTTTTTTGTTTCTTTATTCTATTTGATTTTTAAATGCGTATTTTAAAGCATATTCAGCATTATTTCGGCTTAACCTCAAATCAAAGATAGATTTTGGGGACGTTCAAGGTTTTTTTCCGTAAAACCCAAACTGAAACGCACTTCCGACAAACATATCTTAACGAAATTGATCTATAGTATGCCAACCGAGCAAACGGGGTACTTTGCTGTTATATTTAATAAAAATTCGAATTGAATCGTTATGCATTTCAGAAAGGAAATTGACTCCCTCGAATACTCCCTCTTACTATAGCTGTTCTGATATAGAGCTAAGAGGAAGTCTCACGTATAAGCTATCGTGAGACGTCCTCGCCTTTTGAGATTCTTTCCTTTCGAATTGTGTTTATTACTTGTAATTTAATGTTTCCCCCTCCGTTTATATGTAAAAAAGGCAAAAAAATCGGATTACCTATAGCATATAGTTAAGCAGGGTTAACGCATACAGAAAATGAGAGTAAATGACCTTATTGATCTTGATTTTGCTGCATCACTAAACAAGAAGGCTTCCTGACTTTTTACGCCAGATGTCGACGAGTGTTCTACCAACTCTCACAGCTGTGACGTTAATGCGGTGTGTAGTAATACTGTTGGATCTTACGTATGCGCATGTACAGCAGGATTCACAGGGGATGGATTCACATGCACTGGTGAGCCGTTTGAGTTTAATTTCGTTTGTATGATATGTTCGCTTTTAGATTGAACAGCAACGACAGCAATGCAAGAGTCTTTTGTGCTCTTCTCGCTTTTTACAGTTAAAGTTTTGGTTTGGCAGGAGTTTAAATTAATTTTAATATTGACTGTATCTAGTAAGCAAATAGAAAAGCGGAGCCAAGCATCCAGTTTATATTATCGGACACGTGGAACGATTGTGCTTGTTCAAACCCGCGATCATTTTTTTTAGGCCTAATAATATACATGAAAAAAACTACTCAATACCTATTGGCTGAGAAAGGAGTGCATTTCTTCCGTTACACGAGTGCAAATTTGTAAGACAAGTGCACATTACAAATGGTTTCTGATTGGTTGAGAACAAAAAAGAAACCAGCAAGAACCAATCAGATTAGAGCTGTTTTAACAACAAAATTTAAGAAAACGGCCATGGTGTTTAGCAAACGACGATTTGATTTCATGTACGCAAAACAACAATAGAAAAGTTAAAAAAAATTCCAAAAACTCAAACTGTGAAAAGAACGTCTTTCCGGCTAAATGAGAAACTAAACAAGCTACTTATAACGGACTACGCTAAAGTAGAAAATAAAGAACAAACACGGTGGCAAACACCCGCAAGCCATGACAGATCCACTTTTAAGGCATTTAAATGAACACGGATACAAGTTTTCCATCATAACAACAAGGACTTCAAGTCACGTCATTCTTTTGTTGGAGGAGAAAGAGGTCCGGTTGCTCTCTTTAAGTCTTTTGTCGAGCAAAGACCTCTATTAAAACATCCATGCGATGGTCTGTTTCTTTTCTTCCTCGGTAGCAAACGAAACCGAAAATTTAAAGATCTGGTTCAAACTAAACCAATGTGCGAAAATACCATCCGGCTAACATTTTAATGAAAGTGTCCGTAAAGTGGTAGTACTAGCCTTAAAGAAAATGAGAAAAAAGTTTACGAATCATGGTGTAAGGAAAACAACAGTCAGCAAGCTGAAGAAAGCAAACCTGATATATTGTAACTTCAGAATATATCACCACTGTCAAAGGCCACAGAGGTATAAATTTCCTCAACGACTACGATGAAGCCGACGAAGAAGAGCGACGATGACTCTCTCTTGCAATATCCAAATGAATAATAAAACCCCAGCGCTGAGAAAAAACAAATATTATATTAATACCGGCGGGAGTTTCCGACATCACAACAACTGTGGCTCCACTCACCCATCGGCGACGGCGGCGTCGAAAGAAAACAAATTTGCTCCTTCATTTTCGGGCTGTTTAATTCTCAAAAATTTCTCCATGAATCCAGCTATGATGAATATACCCTCCTCAAACAGAAAACAGGAGCATCCACCGAATTCATATCAAACATCAGAAACGTTGGAATAATAATAATAATAGTCATTATAATTATAATAATGATAATAATAATAGTGATGATGAGAATGATAACAAAATTAGTTTCCACTAAAAACTAAACGCAGCAAAACTATTTACAAACTCATCAAAATAGCCAACAAAACTATTTACTTGAGATATCGACTTTTTAATGTCCTTTGAAAAAACTCAATGCTTCGCATGTCTTTTGTTTGACTATCCACAGAGGTCCAAAAAGTAAGTTACAAGCGATTCTGACAATTCACACAAGACTTCATATCAAACATCAAAAACCTTTAAAGAACGTTTGAATCAGTTATGCAAATTGCTTAAATTCAACTACTTATTAGTACTTCGCCTTTCGAACGGATGAATGGTCAGAAGCACGGATACTGAGTGCAGCTAAGGTGTGTCTCCCAACTTTATAAACTTTTAATTATTATTATTACTTATTTTTTCAGACGTAGACGAATGCACAGCAGGTACCCATGATTGTCATACGTCAGCTACTTGCACGAATACCAAAGGTTCTTTTACTTGTTCATGTAACCCTGGTTACACGGGCGACGGCAAAACCTGTAGCGTTGGTAAGCTGTCTTAACCTACTAGGAACTAAATCCATCTGGATTGCTTGTGTTGTAAATCTAACTTTGTCTTCCTTAAAAAAAAAAACATTGGCTAGTAATTATACTTCGATGATCAATGCTCGTAATATGATAAAGAAAAAGAAATGAAAATGTAATTGGGAGCTGGAGGCACATTGATTGCAGGTAGGAGCTGCAGGTAAAGTGTCTCCTAATTTGTCGCATGAAACAATGCTATTTCTTTCTTCCAATTGTTTTAGTAATAAGTATTGTTTGGGGTCAGGGAAACGCACCATTAATGACTTCTCTTCCGAGCAGCTGACAATTGATTCCAAGGCTGCCATACCTCACAATAACATAACATAATGCCTTCAAAATCAACACTTCTGTAGTACACGAAAAGCCATACTACCAGACACCTTTTTCCCTTTCGTCGACGATCGTTGCCATTATTTCTACCATTGATAACCTAACCTTTCTGTAATAAATTCCCTGAAGGCGAATAATATTTTTTTTAATTAGTTGTAGAAATAACGTACTATATGCGACAAGTCTCCGTGCCGCGAGCCAAATTTTAATAAGACGAAGGACTTATTCGAAAGTTGATATTACTTGAGAATGTAAGCAATAAATCTCCGTCGGCGGTCCGGTCCGGAAGGAAATCATGATATAATGTGACAGTTCTATTGTCTTTAAAAGAGAAAAAACAGATAACGCTCGAGAGTGCGCATAATTGGAGCGCTGTCCTTTTAAGCGATTGTTTTCCTCACTTGTCTCTAACATAAGTTGTGTTAGGAATGCCAGTAAACCAGACGACAACAATCAATGAGAATCAATCATTGATTTCAATCAATATAAGCAATAAAAATCAATAAAAATCTATTGATTTATATTGATTGGTTTAGCCAATCAACAAAAACCGATAATTACTCACCGATTATGCAACAGTAAAAACCCTAGCCTCCCACGCAGACGTTCTTAGGGGATCGTCACGCGTCCCTGTCCCACTAACGACGTTAGTAGGACAGGGATGCGTAACGAACCCCTAAGAACGTCTGCGTGGGAGGCTATTAAAACCAGGGTAGGCATTAGCTTAAATGCTGGTTAATCGTCGGTCGCAAGCACAAAAAAGCTGTTACGTTATGTCTGTGGAAATTTCTATTTCCTGTGTAGTCATGGAGTATCACACTGTCCTTTTAAAGTAAATTAAAAAGGAAGGGGAAGTGTTTTCCGTTTCCAAGAAGAGGAGAGAACTGAGGGATGAACGAGGGGAGAACGGAGGGAACTGAGGCCAGCTTGGCCATCTCCAAGCCGATCTTGTCACCCCACTTTATCCACATCAAGCGGATATTTCCGCATAAGTACAGTAAACGGAGGAGTAAAACAGTCTGTAGAATACTTTAAACAAATCACACTACAGCCAATCAAATCGATGTAAATCATGAAAATCAATGAAAATCAAAAATCACTCAAGACTGCGGCTTTGATTTTTATTGATTTTCAATATCTATCAATTCATTGCTATTGATTTTTATGGACTATTATTGATGCTATTGATTATTGATTTTGATTGAATGTCATCGTCTGGTGGTACAATGTACAAGCATTTGTGGTACTTACAGTCGAGGCCCCTGTGTGTCAGTAAATCCGATGGTCGTGGGGTTCCAAATGCAAATTTGTTCAATTTTACATTTCTCCTGGTCGATTTTGGTAAAGTGTTGTGTTCATCTGCGAACCTCAAATGCTTCTTCTAGAGAAGACTATATGCCACAAATATAGACCTGCGAACCTCAAATGCTTCTTCTAGAGAACACTATATTCCACAAATATAGACTGTTTTGTTAGAAATTCATTGCGTTTACATTTGACCTTTGTGGCCTTTTGTCTATCATTCGGAAACAATAGCTAAAACAATGTAACTACTCAGTCGACCAATCAACGCTTCTGACCGGATTTCGGACAGATTTTACGTCATCAGTATGGAATTTCGGTCGCTCCCCAGCGGCAAAGAGCGAGGAGAAACGACTGTTTTCGCAGGCTACATCGGAGGGTATCCCCCAAAATTACAGTTTTGAATATCCCTGGAATTTAGTTTAATGGCAAAATGCAACGCGCGTTTCCTTAAAAAAAGAATCAGCCAGTTAAAAAGTCGTATTCCATCCTGTCGATGTAAGAATTTCAATCTCAAACAAGCATCAGGTCTGATAAGGGGGTGCGGACCCCCCGGACCCTCCCCCTTGATCTGCCACTGATTAGTAGAGATGTACGGTGCTAGATGAGCTGGGATTGTCTGATAAATCTGCTTTGTCTTTTTTGTAGCATGTAGAGCTGTAGAGGTAACGGACCCAAAGAAGATACCAGATGTCAGAATGACGGCAAGCACAGTTCACAGTTCGTCTTATCAACCGCACTACGGAAGGATCAATACAACAAGGGGTACCCACGGATGGTGTCCGAAGACCAACACCAAAAGGACAGACTATCTTCAAGTTGATATGGGCGCAGTGCATTCTGTTTGTGAAGTGGCCACGCAAATGTTAAACACTGGCGCGTACACCAAAACGTATTACTTACGAGTTTCAGTGGATGGAGCAACCTGGAACACGTACGAGGAGAACAAAACTACAAAGGTAAACTATAACTTAGTATGCATGTAGCTTTCACTTTTCCTTAGCTTACGCGCAGCCATCCAAACCCTCTCCCGCCGTTTCTGACTTTTTTGAGCGGTGTTGGGGCGTGGTTTGTGGGGGTTGGTTTGGCGGTTGGTGTACGGTCACATCTGTATGCTAGTTATATAACTAGAGCGGCTGGATTTTTTCCTGAGTAGCCCAGCTCGGTAACCAAGATACCTTGGTCTATTTAATGTGAACATAGGCACCAATTCAAGGTTTGGGTTTACATAATTAATATAGTGATGTGTACACAAGTGTCCATCCAAGCCTCGGCTTTGTCTCAAATACGCACGTATGTGCTGGCGTAAGAGCACGTAAAAAACAACGTCAGAGCTTTTAATGTTAATAAGCATATTTAACTTAACAACAACAAAACAAGGCCCAGGGTTGTCATTAAGAGCCGGGGGCCGGGGATTTTCCTCGGCTACTAAGAGAGTGGCCCCCGGCTACTTTTATTGGAAAATAGTAGAAAAATAGAACCAAAACAAATCCCTAGCCATTTGATTCCCCGCCTACTTGTTGTATTTACCCGGCAACTTAAAATCTTAGTGACAACCCTGAAGGCCCCTGAAAGCTGGGTAGCGCTCCTTAAAGAATAGATCGCAACAAGAGCCATGGCTCTTGGTCGCAATCGAGAGGGTAAGTATTTAAGGAAAACCAACTGTGTTGTCCAGTGGATAAATATTTATCCGGTAGATAGCGTTATCCAGCAGCTTTTGAACAATTGAGAACTGATCCAACAAGAAACGAAATTGACCAATGGCATATAGTAGAATTAAGCACCGGAAATATTTTCTGCGCGCTTTGACGTTCTCATGGTCACGTAATTGTCCTGACTGCTGTTTGAAGCCACACATGCAAAATAATTAGTCGTATGGACTCCTTTTGGCTTTGACTTTATTTAAATCAAAAGTGACTTCATGAACAATCAAGGACGTGATATACTTAGTTTAAAAAGAAACCATGACATCATCGATTTGAAAATGGCTAAGAACTCGACAAACCGGTTAAAACACCTTGTTAAAAATAGCACCTGACGCTATCTTTAAAACTGAAGCTGTGTCCAACGAAAGCAGTCAAAACTCAAACACTGGTAACGGCCACGAGATTGAGTAAAACATAAAAATAACCGCCCACAATGTTAAAAGAAACTAGGTATAAATAACAAAGTAAATGCAAAAGAAGGCAGAGATCACACAGATGGACAAACATGCAGTTGATTGAAGTGGAAGCAATTGTGGTGTTTGAAAACTTGTTAGCCTCGGCACTGGTTTTTCAAAAAATTAATTTTTGTTGTTTGCAACGTTTGAGATAGTCCTTGGGAGATATATTTGTTTTACAAGAAGCAGTGATTTTGTCATTCAAAAATTTCATAGCGAATTATGTCGCGTAATTTGCGTGTTTATAAACAAAGTGAACTAGCCAGCCGTGACACAACCTCCCCTCATTTCCTTTATGAGATAAACAGTGCCGGATCCAGACCTTGAGATGGAAGGGGGGGGGGGCTCATCCAGACCAAAAAATCTTTTTTCGGCCCTTTGGGCCTCAGTTTGCGTAAAAATACGGGAGGGGGGGGGGGTGGGCTCCCCGAGCCCCTCCCCTGAATCCGCCACTGATAAATACTTATGGGCTATGACATCATCGACTAATGAATTCCACTTCAAACAAACAGGGTAAAGCATCCCTAGTATACTGCTAAGGGTTATTTGTTTTTCACTTGCAGGTTTTCCAAGCAAGTACCGTTCTGAAGAGTGTCGTAACACAGAAACTCAGTCAAGTGGTGAAAGCAAGATTCGTTAGGTTTTTTCCTATAACATATCATAGCTGGCCTTGTTTAACTGTTGAAATTTATGTCCTCCCACCTGGATATTGAAAAATTCGGTTAAGAACCAGTTTTCATTCAAAATCATTTGGTCCTTTCCGTCGGGATGCTCTCACAATTTCGTTTGATTGATAGTAGTATTCATTTTAACTTACAGCTGGGCGGACCTCCGTTTTAAGGACTCTTCACGGGGACAAATCCCATTCGCCGACACTTTTTTTCTCCTTCATTTATGAGTAAACAGGCTTTTTCCAGAGCTAAGAGGCACTGATAGTCCACTTACCTGGGTTTCCCTCTGGATGTTTGAATACACCAAGGCCCGGCTAGCTCTTTTAGTGTTTTGAATACCGTACTGGATGGCGTAAAATACAGTAAAACGTAACCCCGCAAATAGGAACCCGCATTTTTCTACGTTAGCCTAAATAGGTTTTTATATAAAGGGTAAGCACAAGTTTAGCCTATTTATAGCTATAGGATCTTATTATTGATTAAAAAATAGATTCTTATTTTCTGAAGGCAAAAATACAGTATAGCTAAGAGTATTTAGTGCTTCAGCTTATTTCTCATATAATATCTGCATACCCTTACCTTGCAGTTGGGATGATAAGGCACCTGTCTCCAAACAGGATTCTGAATGTTGACTTATTTGCCCAAGTGTACAACATTTTTATACATTTTAAAACTGAGAACCTGTCTCAAATTTTAGGCTAAACAGGTTCTTATAAAGATGGGGCTTAACTGGAAAATTTTAGCCTAACACTGGTTCTTAAAATCCAAGTTCTAAGTTGCGGGGTTTTATTGTATTTTAAAAGCACAATTTCTTTAAAAGAGCAGTAGCAATAGGGAAAAATAAATATCACTGATTGTAAAGGGATGTTTTGGTAGAGGTGTACCACCGAAAAATCAAACTGTGACCTACCCTGTGAAAGACAAAAGCTGCTCGTTTCGCTTCCCTGTCTTACGCCCTTCAACCAGAGCCTTTCTTTCGCTAGCGCTCGATTTTTACGTACTCGAGAAAGCTTCTTCATAAATAGAGTAAGATCTTTGTTGAGCATGTGCGGCTCTCTGCTAGGCTTTTGTCGATTGCGCTAGCATAATGTTTAGCATAATTTGGCAGAACGAGCATAATTTTTAGCGTTTTTTAAAGAAAAGCACTGCTAGCACGTTATGAAAAATCGTCATAATTTTGTACTGAATATAGATTAATATATAGATTCGACCAAGAAACATCTACTCCCTTACATCAAAACCAAAAGAGCGTATTATTTTATTACTTTTAAATGTTTAGATTAGTTTCATTACATTTTAAATTATATTATATAGTATCATTGTTGTTAATTTTATCACTTGACAATTCAGTCTATTCCACTACAAAGATTGAAATAAACGATGTTTGTTTGTTTTTTTGTTTGGTCCTTGTCATGTTTCTTGGTTTCAGGCCCCAGTCGTACGACTCAGTAGCGAGCTGCCTGGGATCTAAGATCAAAGATGGCGTCCTCCTCGTCGAACACTTGTGTTTACCCGGTGTTCAGCCTTTATTTCGCTTAAAACCAAGCAGCATAATTTAAATACGAGAAGCATAATTCAGAGCAAAGAGCACAATTCAGGCATAATTTTCATAAACTTTGAGCAATGCCAGGAGCATAATATGCTCGTTTTTCGAGCACAATTGACAAAAGCCTACTCGCTGCTGGGATATGGTTTCGAACCCAGGCTTAATAGCCTTGCGCATGTCACTGCGGGTTCAGGTATGATCATCGGATTATCAATAAAAGAAATGCTCGCACTAGGAAAAGAAGTGTGCAAATATACAAAACAAGATGGACATGAAGATTGAAGTTCGGGCTTGGGAAACCTCAAAGGCTTGACGTGATTCAGACAAAGCTTCCTTTTCTCCTCCCCACTCAAGAAGACAAAAGAAGGCTCGGGTCGCAGCAAAAAATAAAATAAACGGACAACCAAAAAACAAAGAAACAAACAAAACACGGAAGAGGTAATTGTGATGGTTATACTGCTGAACATAAAATATTTCCAATCAATGTTTATTGATGGTCGTAATGAATAATCAGACAGTCGGTGTAGAGTCTAATAATCATTTTGTGAACACTTTAATAAGATCTCCAAACGTGATTAATGGAATTAGTTATTAGTTTAGGTTCCTAAGTAACACGTTTAAGGCCATACTTTGCTCGAAAATATGCGTTTCTTTAATTTGTTTACAGTGAAACCTCGCCTTACGGCCACCTTCTTATTACGCCGCCATTTTTTTTGGCCGCCTGGCAAAAATCGCCATGCATTTTCTTGTAAAAAAAAAAAAAACACTCGTAAATAATACGGCCAAATTTTTTTGGCGCATTGGTGATCGTATTAACGGGGTTCCAAAAAAAATATGCTGATGTAATTTAACTAGTATTGTAAACGCTGTCAGCCTCTTATTTGGCAGATCTTATCGTTTATTTTAAGTCTAAAAATGCCGGATCTGTTTCAATTTAAAACCTATTGAATTTTAATTCCCAGCTATGAATGTACATTAATTGCTGCAGAGTCCTTGGGAAAACGAGACAGTCGTTCTGGCAGACAGATTGAACATAATAAAAGGTTATACATCTTTTTGACAAGGTTTATCCCTAAAAGTAAAACACGAATGTAAAAAATCGGACATCGAATCTCTTATTTACTTCAATCTAGTATTTCACAAAGCTAAGGCTATCAATAGCTTTAAAGACGTGGGCAGGACTTGTAATTTAAAATGAAATTTGAATGCAATTATAAATTTTAATTTCCCGAAGATATGTAGAACTGCAGGTGATTCAGTGAAAAGTTTGTACTTTGTAAACGCGTTGCTGTGATAGAACGTCTTTTGGCAAACATGTCAAATGTTACGTCGCAAAACGTGTTAGAGACTCGCACCCTAGCGGAACTTCTTTCAAGTCGACAAAACGCTACCGTAGTTGTCGAAGCGTTACTTAGTGTGATTTTGAATATAGCAGCCTTGTTTTTGAACTGCGTCCTGTGCTGGGCGGCTTACAAGAACCATCGTCTTCGACGAATGACAAGTGTTTATGTCCTCGTACTCGCTCTTACCGATCTCCTCACCGCTGGGCTGGTGATGCCGTTTATGTGTGATGTCAGCATTTACGGAGAGTGGAGGTACTCTTGGTCCGCTTGTCAATTTCAAGCATTCTGTTGCGTCGTGCTAGCTTACATCGCTCAACTTATGTTCCCACTGACGGCTATCAATCGCTACGTTCGGGTACTGCGTCCTCGGATTTATTCGAAGCTTTTCGTAAGGAAGTATACCTTGCTGTCAATCATCATCGTGTCACTTTGTGCAATCATTGCTCCGTTGCCTTACCTTCTTAGGGGCCATACTTTCACTTTTCATCCAGGAATGATGATCTGTTTTTATGCCATCGAAAATTCTAGAGAAAAACAATCAATTTATCGAATTGTTTTCTTCACAATCTTACCCATGGTAATCGTCGCTTTTTGCTATTTTCGAATATACAACTCTGTCAAAAAGCACTCAAAGATGGTGCACAGCGTCAGAACAGACCTCCGCCGCAACACGAATGATTCTTTTGCCATGGAAACTAAAGTCCATCGCCTTGGCAATGTGCCAGATATGACAGTCACTTCTATATCAAGCAATAGGCTATCACTTGACGATATTTCGATGACAAAAACATTGTTTGCTATTATTTTTGCTTTCTTTGTATGCTGGACCCCTCTTTATATCATCACAGCTATAGATACAGCGAATGGAGCATTTGATCTTCCAAGGCAAGCATACTTTTTTGCCACGTACCTAGTTGGGTTAAGCAGTATTATCAATCCTCTGATATTCGGATACATGAACGCTACGTTCAGGGAAGAATGCAAAATGCTTATAAAAGCGCTGGGATCGAAGAGGCCTCTTCAAGTAAGAGCGGTCGATAATTAAGGTGCGGGAATTTAGAGAGTCATGATCGTAACACCTACAGATATGGAGCTACAGGAAGAACAAAGAATTAAACATTTGTTGAGGGGTCTAAGAGGCATTTAAACGTTTGGAGGCTATGAAAAAAATTCAGACCTCTTCCATGCCCTTTAATGAACACTGAAAGAAGCCAACTGCGTGTTGTAACAAAAAGGAGCAAACAGTCATATAAAAAGCTCTTCAAGTTTCTAGTATAATTTGGACCATTTTGTCAAAATCTTCAGGGGTTCCCTAATTTATTTCCCAGCAGGCCGGGCTTTTAGCGTTCTAAGACAAAAATTAAAACCTGCATCAGCCGATTCACTGCACCTATGCGAAAAAGAACCAAACTGTAAAATAAAAGAAAGTCAAACTTTAGGTAAAACGTATACTCAGTTTTAGCTTCATTTGTAAAAAAGTGCACGCTACTAGCTAGCTCAGCGGAGAAAGGCGGATTTAGTCATGTTTTTATGCTCTTCCGTCTTAGTCACGTGCTTTTCCTTATTTGTCTAGCTGCTATGGTTTTTAAAACCCCTGCTGGTAACAGGATTTTTAGACTCCCACTGTTCGATTTCTGGCAACGAAAATTAATTACAAGCGAGGGTTTGTAGCGAATGTCTACATCACCTTGAGTAACAGTGGTCCTTACAAACTTCGTTAACAGTTTATTCACTTCGATGACAAAATATAGGTTTCTTTTGCACCTTCATGATGGGTAATTCAGTCTTTAAATAATTCCTCTTTCCGTTTGTGTATGCGAGGCAAGCTGTTGATATATTTGCATGATAATGAGGACGTGGTTGGAATAAATGAATAAATGCTTTAGATTATGAGACTTCAAGGGGGAATAATTAAGGAAAAATTCTCCTCCGCCAACAGTTAATTGTTATGTTGAAAATATCACTTCTTTGTTACTAGAAAAAGGGTGGTGAAAAGTGTCAAAGCAAGTCTTGTAAAAAGAGATACTCAAAATAAATACTGATATCTTTACTTATTCATGATCAGTGTTTCGATATCACCTGTTGTAAATGATGACATAGCGAATATGCAAACGACGACAAAGAGTTATATTTATTAATTTTGTTTAATGCCTTGCTAAAAGAAGTCGAAGTTGTACTACATCAGCTTAATCGTGTTTATGTCGCACAGGAGGTAAGTTCAATATACCAGTTAGTGTCAACCTGGGGTTTCTTCTTAAGGTTTTGAACATGGTTCATGATTTGCGATGAGGCGCTAAATGTAAATTACTAATAATCTTTTAACCTGGCTAGAGAAAATATTACCAAAGAAACCTTGACTGATATACCATTTGAGTCATTACATTTTTAAGCCTGAAATTGTGAAAATCGATATAACAAACTCCAGTGCGGCCAGTGCGGTTATTTGTTTTTAGTCTTCTAAATTTATTTATCTATTTATCTATTTTTTTCGACGGCCGTAGGTTAGAAAACTGTAACAGGTTATTGCGCTTCCCTCTTTAAATAAAGTTATTTTATTTATTTAAAAGCCTACTCTGAACTACTTTTCGTCTTGAAGGTTTTAAGCTTTTCGGGAACTTCCCTGTGATACTGAGCTGCAACATTTTCATTGGACCGAGAAAAAAATTTTCTTGTTCAGATATAGTATCTTTTTTCTGGCAGTTTTCTGAAAAAACCTTAACTTAAGTTTTTCTCAATTTTGACATACACGCTTGAAAGAGTTACTAAACATAAAATGCGATTGAAATATTAGCATCAAGGAATCGTTTGTTGTTAAAAAATAATGGCCGTTATAATTGCTTGCCAATCTCTAGATTGAGGATTTACAAGCTAAGCTAAGAACAAAATTATAATTAGAATACATAACAAAACAGCTTTTTTGCCACGAGGTTACGGACGGACCATTATAAATAACCGGAGGTGGGGTGACAATTCCCCCAAAAAAATTCCTGCAAGGGAAACTTGTCTAAAAACAAATCCTGCGAGCGGTGATACGTAAAAAAAATTCTTGCAGAGGAAGCCACATGCATAGCATCTAAGGTTATTAAAAGTATGGGATAAGGGGGGAAAAGATAAAATAAAACAGTCTCTAAAGATAATTCAGGGAATTAAAATTCTTAATTCGGATTTATTTTGTCTTATTCTGATTACTTTCCTTTTTAAAGAGGCCCGAAAGATTGTCATTCAGGACTTTCCTTGAGCGCTTTCCATTTACGAAAAAAACCCGGAAATTTCGGTGGTAGCAAAAGTGGAATTTCCGATTGGTAAAAAGTTGTTCCATTTGGTCGTAAACCCCGGTACGTGGCCGGGTGCCCGACTGTGGACCTGGAACTGGTACAAACTACAAGAAACGTCAATGGAACACGAGATTCCGTTCGGAAATTCCAACCGGGAAAACGGGACCACCTTTTTAGATTTTCCACTTTTTCTGGGAATTTTCCAGTGGGACGAACCGACGAAACGTGTTCCATTTACCGCCGAACCGGAAATTCCGGAAATTTTGACTAAATGGAAAGCGCCCCTTATTTCCTTTTTTCTTCTATACAATTTTCCATAAAATACAACGTCCTCTATGAGTGGTCTTTGTCTATGATCTATTGGTGTGGCGCTCAGTTTTGAAAATGTTTGCGAGATTTATATTTCGGATGGAGAAAGGGATGGCCTCGAAAAAACGTGAGCAGCAAATGTTTACAAGTAGTATCAAGACAAAGTAATTTTGGGGAACTTGAAAAATGCCTTAAAAAAAAAAATTTTAAAAAAGCAATAATAACAACAAAAATGAACTTCAAAGCAGTTGACTGGGACGTTGAGACGCGAGTTAAAACACTGTGAAGTAAAAGTTTTGAAGAAACTGTTTACAAGAATCAAGAAAAAGAAGGAAAGAAGAGCAGCGTGGGTGACTGGGAAATTGCCTAAACTCGGTAACAGTTACAATCTGCTAGGGGAAGCGTGCTACGAGGCAAGTTTGCCGATTTTTTTTTCTGTTCGTTGAATTACACAAATAAATATAAAGATTCTTTTGTGCCTTGAGCAGGTCTTTTCGGTAATAGATCCAGAAGACGTCAAAATTTCTTCGGCTCATGTGCCAAAACAAATTTTAAAAACGCTAAACAGACAAACGGCAAAAAAAAACCGAGTGGTAAACTATAATAAGTGATATGATTCTCTTAGACATTGTATTATCATATAAATCTTAAGTAATCGCAGATTAGTTACAAAAGGAGACATGTGTGGGAAAAAAAATCGTGCTTAGCTTGTGCTTGTGCTTTTTGCAGAGAAGTGACTGGGCTTAACAAATATTCATGTACCGAAACTTTTTTCACCTCCCCCTCCCACAATCCGGTCCGTCCCTTACTAACCTTTATTATGGAGGAAAATTTTGGCAATGAAACCTCTGGTCATCACATTAATATATACATTGCTTGATTCATACAATGAACATGCTGATAGAATTTAGTATACTGATGAGGGTCTCAATGGGTGTTGACCGTCAGCTGTCGCGATAATTACGTTCAAAGGAGCCTGAAAGCTGTTTTTGGCATTCAAGATAGAACTGTTTCAATAGCTTTGCAAAATGGGGTACACCAATAGCGCCAACCTGTTGTTGGCATTCAAGATAGAACTGTTTCAATAGCTTTACAGAATGGGGTACACCAATAGCAGCCATGATCTCTTGAGGTGGGAGCTGCACATAGCCGATCCCACACCTTGAATTGAAGGGGGTGGCACGGCAGCACAAATGGGCAACATAGCCGATTGGCTAGCTCTTAGGGGCGCTGGATTCAACCCAGTCTTCCTGAGTGTAAAATCCCTCCCTGGCCTGTTCTTGCTACTCCCAAATTCTTTCAATTCCTCGGTCATTCTTACAGCTGGTTAATTTGGTCCGCGGCCAGTTGGGGAATAGTCGATTCATGACTCTGTTTTTTTTTTTTGGTTGTTCTTGTTGTTTTCTTTTTCTCTCGTTGTTGAGAGTCACTATGTAAACTAGTGGGTGACACGGTACCAGTGAATATGAAACAAATTCTTTTTTAGAAGATAAATTTAGTAAATTTAGTCGACAAATAACTCCCCAAAGCCGCTGAGAAAACTCTAAATCGACATGGCGTCACAGTTCAAGAAAAAAACGTGGATAATAAGACTTAAGCCATATCATCTTAATTGCCCAATAAAAGGTCAATATTGTCTAGTACTAAAAAGTACATCGAACTGCAATTACTTCGATCGATGTAATTGCAGTACAGTAGAATCCCGGTAACTCGAACTCCAAAGCGAAACGAAAAACAGTTCGAGTTTAAGCGGGGAATTTGAGTTATCGGCCGGTTTAAATTTCAGTGAAATTTTGATCAAGGGAGAGAAAATTTAGTCCGAGTTAGCGGGGAATTCGAGTTATCCAGGTTCAAGTTATCGAGGTTTTACTGGGTACCTTTTCAGTTTTCCTTATTGGCTTAATTGGTTACAGGCTATCCAGACCGGATTGGCCCCTAGCTATGACTGTTAGAGATGATCTCCGGCAGCGCTCCCTGCAGCCCCGAAATATGCGTGAGAGGCAGCAGTTTTTTAGGCTCCTTTGAGGACAAATTTTACATTAAAGGTTGCTAATCGCAGGTCGAACAAATTTGCTAATACTGAAAATGTTAACCCCCGTCCACTGAGCCAGGGAGCAGGGACCACCCCAGTCAATTCAACTGATATGAAGCTGGCAACAAGTTTGTCAGGGCATTAAGACAAAACAAATAGACTATCCACTAATGAACTGACTACAAACGGACAGAAGCTTTTGACAACAGTAAATCGGCCAGGCCTGGCCTGGGCGATCGAGCTGTTTCGTTTACATTGTTTAGTTACCTAACTCAAAAATTTTACTATAAATGGAAGCAACAAAAAAATACATTGTTTAAATGCTATTACCTTCTGAAAAAAACCACGATAAGAGGATGTCCGTTTCGATTGTTTACAAATTCAAGGATTGTTTTCAGTTTGAAAATTTCCGCAGCTATCTCGGCTAATGTAGGACTACTAACAATGCTACGATTGTTCGGATTCCCAAAACTATAAAAGTAGTGTATATTTTAGGACATTACAGCCCATCAAAAATTTATAACCGTGGTTAATAGTTGCTGGTTCTACAGAAAGCTCTTAGGAGACAGTTTAACGTTATTAAAAAAACGATTGTAACGCTTTTAGCTTGAAAATATCACACAGATCGAACACCGAGCCACAAGACAGGAATTGCTAAATGTTGGTATGTAATTACTCATAATGTGAGCTCCGTTAAATATTTCAATGACGCCTGAGGTATCCATCGTTAGATATTTCACGCAGTTTTCGCCGTTTATTTATTTAACACCGAATTTCCAAGGCTTAAAACCTCCCTTGTCAAAATGCCGACCTTTGTTAAAACTTGTTTCGCGAAAGCTATACGATATTAGGAACATTTGAACTCTAAAGTACTTATTGCTTGGGGAAGTTGCGAGTGCATCTGAATCGGAAGAGATTCATTCCGTTGGACGTTGCAGGTTCCTTCGCAGGTGCTGTATCTATTTTTGCGCCTCTAATTCATATTCACAGTTATATTCAAATAGATTAGCTGAATTTCACAATCGAGTACATCAGTAGCAAATGGAGCTAAAATTTAAATTTGTCGCCACAATGATTCAGTGAAATGTAGTGAGGTTTGAAACTAAATTTTGTCAGTGATACCGGATTTTCTAATCATAAATTAAACACATTAAAGGTGGTTTTTCAAAGTTATATTTTCATTGTTTCGGAGACGTTTATACCTCTTGCTAAGAGTATCGTCAGAAAAAAATGAGGAAATAAGCAAAGAAGTTAGAATTAAAATTTTTGTTTGTGCAATGCGTTCTCGAGAGTTTGCGCTATAATTATATAGTTAAGTATTTCACAATATTTTAGCGTGTAATGCATATTGTAAACAAGTGATTCAGTAGGGTCGATATCATTGGGCAGCGAGTGATAACATTCAATAAAACAAACCGTATAAACTGAAGATAGACATTATCGCATGGCAATGAAACCACTTTGCAAGCAGGTTATCATTGGAAACTATATATTACTATTATACATATTTTATCATTGGCCCGCGGTTCAAACGTCGACCTTTACATGTGCCGAACCTAATTATTAGGTTCGGCACATGTAAAGTTCGACGTATGAATCAATTAGGAACGGCACTTTTGTATTTGGGTCGACTCTGCCGTTTTTTTCGACTGAGCTTGTCGAATACAACGGCAAAAGATCGACTTCGATTCATACGTCAAAGTTCACATGTGCCGAACCTAATGCATAAATTATGTTAACGTATTTTTCAATATAACCGCGCTTCTGATTGGTTATTTAGTTGGTTTTCGCGTCTTTGCGGACAGAACTCACAAAAGCGTAACGACGATTACCAGCATTCACGTTGAAGATTTTTAGACTGAAACTAGACAGATTAAAACGATCTTCTAAAAAGCTGCTTTTCTTTATATCCATAAAGAAATCGTTATCGTAATTCATGGCGTTACTTTATTTTGTCCAAATATCACGATCACGATCCCCAGTCAGCTGTCTCCTTGCCATAACAGAACTAGCCTGCGTAGCTGGCGGTATTGTGTGGGTGCAAGATTAAAGTTTTGGCGGCGGAGCCGTGTTCCAAAAAAAGGGAGTAGCGGACGAGGCGGTTGACGAGGCGACTCCGCCGTCAAATCTCACTCGACTGTATTACAAAGGCTCCGCCGCCAAATCTCACTCGACTACTACACCATACCGCCAGCTACGCAGGCTATAACAGAACACAAATCACAGTAAAATCAAAACAAGAATTTCTAGGCTTGGTGAATTTTACTTTTTTCAGTATATTTCCCTATTTTAAGCAGTAAGGATGATATTTCTTTTCGCCACGAATTAAGTTCGGCACATGTAAAGTTTGACCGTCTGAATCAACAGTCGAACTTAATAGTTTGGGTCGACCTAAATGGGTATTAGGTTCGGCACATGTTAAGTTCGACGTTTGAACCAGGCCTAAGCAAGTCTTGTTTTGAATTTATAAATTAATAACTGAATTCGAATCAAATCGGATAATGATGAAAATACTATACGTTACGTTATGGTCTACTTGTATTCATTAATTATCAGTGTCGCGAACTAAAGAAAATAATATTCATGAGGTGAAACTAGTAAAAGGTTCTTTATGTAAATGTTGCTATATTCTAAGTTCCAGTCGGTTGCCGTTGGCAATAAAATGAGCCTAAAGGTGTACCACGCACTTTAGAATTAAGAACGGGAATTGCTGATGTTTCCAAAGAACATCTTAAAAGGTAACACTACTATGATTTAAGCACAATTATAGTTACATATATGTTTACACTCATTATTTTCATTGTAACTCTACCTTTCAGACTGACTGTTACAACGCACGCGGTCACTGAATGATACCATAGGATCTACGATATGATGACATATCTACGAAATCCAGAAACATTTCCTTGCTATACGCCTAAAACTTGGCTTTAAAGAAATCAAAAGCATGACCTCTTTCAAGAAAATTCTCACTTTTGCATTTTTGATGTGCACGAAGGTCTTTCAGCATTCTAAAGGTACATCTGCTTTACAGTGAAATTTATACTGACATGGCTGTCATAAGGAATAAGCCACGAAGTGGGCAATATGTTCATTTCAAATTATTGTTATCATTGATATAATTCCTAAAAAATATCATGACTTGAACTCACATGTTCACAGATATATAATCTATCGAATATTTACTCCTTTCTCTTGGTGTAGTACTTATTAGCCGCGTAAATGCAATTTCTAATATACCCGGAACTGACATTTACTTTCAGAATCTGTGCTGTTTTCATTAAGGCCATATTCTTTCGTTTTTAACTTAAAATGATCAAATTAAATAAATAATTTGATCACTTTGACCGTAGAAAACTGATCATTTTCTTCCTTACTCATGAAACCGCTCTCGCTACGGTAATGCCTTTTTACTGAACTTGATAATGGTTTACAAACAACACTCACTGAAAAGAGGTCATATTTATCATGCAAATTTTTTCTTCCTTAAGGTTGTGAGAATTGCTTTTAGACAATAAAACATGTGACTCATTTTCGCAAACAGTAATCAATTGAAGCGCCTTTTTAAAGTGAAACGCGCAGAAAGAGGGAAATCAGAAAAAAATGTTGCATAGGATGGGATATGATCATGTCAAGCTACTTGCCGGTGTATATGATGAGTTAAATTGCTTCCGTAATCTGGTTGCGTTATACTTTCTTTGTGAAAGCTTTCCTGCTAAACAAGCTGAAGATATTAAACGAGTTAAGGGATTTAACATTGGCGGGGGCTGAAACATTCATTTTTCTTGAAAAAAAGGGAAAAGAAATAAATTAGTATTAGGTGCTTAAAGGAGTTGATTTATGCAGTCGCGTGGTCGAAGCTAATTATGCATACTATTATTTACATGTTACAGGTTTTCGTTTCATATCACAATAAGATGGTTAATGCCTCAATGACGTGACGTGTCTGTTAGTTTAGAACAGGATGTTAAAAAAAGTACTATCTCTTTATTTTGATGCAATCGGTTGAGAAACCCAAAAAAATAAATTCTTTTCGAAAATTCGATAGCACAAGAAAAGTCAGCTGACAGCGAGGTTAACACGGGTCTTAGGATGCTGACCTTGATTGCAATTAAAAAGATGAAAAAGTTAATTAAACTGATATAAAGGGTGGAATAAAATTAGAATAAATTTAGAACAAAATGATGATAAAAGGCTCGCAAAGAACGTACACACTTCGGAAAAAAATAAATTTATCGGAAGCCTTTGTTTGTGGCGTAGCCAGTTAACAGGAAGTTGCATGGTCAAGTGGACTCATGGTGTGGCGTAAGCTTGTTTCAGGAGGTCCATAAAGCTGCAGAGAGGCGGGAAGTTTCCTCTCTATTACGCGCCGCTACTTTGATCTCCATTATCTGAACGCCCGGAACAACTGTACTAATTAACCCGTAAAACCCAGTTTGAAGGCTCGCTTTGACGACCAACTAGAGTTGTCAGTTCTCGTCGATAAATCTGAGTGCAACTCATTCTTTATTAAAAGTCTGCATGGTATTAAAAACTAGGACAATAACCCAGGTGCATTAAGCATCATACTTCAAATTAAACGTCTGAGCTCAGTTGTTCGGGTGGCTAATGCTATCCAGTGGATAACACAATAGGTCTTATCACGGTTTTCGACGCCATCTTGACGAGTAGGCAACGGCGTGAGAAATTACAGTGTTTGTATGAGAATCCAATGTCGAATAATTTCCGTAAAACGGCTATTCTGAAAAATATATGAACTGCAAACTAAAGCTACACAGCAAAGGATTTTACTATCAAATTTTGGGGGCCGTTACTGAGCTTAAATTTCTCCAGGCGCTTGCTTCAGATTTTCCACATATTTGTCTGCAATTTTTTCCCGGGAAACGTTTGCAGGCAAATGTTTACAAAATTTTGAAAAGTGGTTCTAACGCATATAGCTACATGTAACGACCTCAGATTTTTTCAGAAGAATCGTTAGGAGTGAAAATTTAGTTTACAATTGATTTTTTTTTTAGAACAGCCGTTTTACGGGAATTTTTGGACATTAGATTCTCATACAAACACTGTAATTTCTCACGCGGTTACCTACTCGTCAAAACCGTGATAAGGCCTATTGATTTCCCAACTTATCCTCTGGATAGCGATTTATCACGTGGTTTTTGGACAACAGGAACCTGAAGTCTGATGTTACACAGTAATTAAACGTTGCCAGTTATTCAATAGGTGCCGACGTCTCAGATATGTCTTATATATCCTTTAGGATTGTGAAACGTACGGTCTCGATAAATTAGTCGTCCCTTCTTCTCACCATGTATTGTCGCACTTTGTAATAATCGTCGCACTTTGTAATACCTGTCGCACTTTGTAATAAAACTGTCACACTTTGTAATAACTGTCGCACTTTGTAATAGCACTTGTCGCACTTTGTAATAAAAAAGCTGTCGCACTCTGTAATAACAGACCATCGCACTTTGTAATAAAAAAAAGCTGTCGCACTTTGTAATAACACTTGTCGCACTTTGTAATAAACTTGAAATAGATGGTCGGACAACAAGTAA